AAGGCCATACCCTTGAAAACTCTATGAAGTGCAGTTCTACTCTGCAACACATGGGTCACCATGAGTCGGAATTGACTTGACAGCAACTGTTTCTTTTGTGTGTTTGTGTGTGTCATGGGGGCTTGTTATTCAGTGGCATGTAAAAGAATTATTGCATTACTTTTTGTGAAGTTTAAAGAATTAGGAAATAAGTGACATAACAAAAGAGAGTTAATAAAATAAAGAAACAAATTACTGAATACACAATTGAAAAAATGGATATAAGGGCAAGGAACTAGATATTAGAATAGAGATATACATATTAACTTAGGGTCTGCTAGTACATCCTTTTTTGAGGGTAGTTAACTTTTAGATCTGAATGATAAAAAGGTGATGGCCATACAAAGAGCTCATTTGTGAGAAATGAAAGAGCCTGTGAGTAGCTTTAAAAGATGGGAGATGTGGTTTGATACAGGAGTTGAAAAAAGTTAAGGAGAAAGGGGACAATGGGTTGAATTGAGGTCTTACAAGCAACACCTTATTATCCATGGTGAAGTGTTTTAAAAAAGAGAAAACATCAAAATATCATTAGGACAGATTGTTAGGTTTTGATCTCTGTGAAATACTGATGACCAGTTCCTACATCTATAGCTGTTGGTTCAGTTTATCTGTATTGCTTCCTGAACATCAGTACTTCCTGACAAGATTACTAGGTGATGATCAACATCCAAATTTCAGATCCACTGTCTTAATCTGTTTCCATTATTACAAACCTCACAATCTTACATACTGTTATCATTCTCTGAGCTCTTTTTGCCTTTCTTCAAATTTCAGAGTTATTCATTTAGACTGTTAAATATTTTCAGTTTTTTTCCTTTACTTTCTATAACTTTTACTTTTGTGACCCATGAAAAGAGAAATTTTGTTTTCTTTCAGATTTCGAGTCAGCGCACGAGACAAAGAGTTTAGGTATAGGAAAAGACATTATTAACAACAGTGATTCTCAGTGGGACATAATGGAAAGTAGTAAGTCCACTGGCCTTGAGAACTTCATTTTCAGAAATGACTGGCAAAGCAAAAGCAATATTGAAGTACAAGGATCTGAAGTGGGATATTTCAGTAAAAGGAAAATCATCTCTGAAAAAGTGCCCAGTTACAAGAATCATAAATATCTTACATTATTACATCAGAGTATTCATCATAATGAGAAGCCCTATGAATATAAGGAATATGGGAAGGTCTTTACTTGTGACTCAAACATTGATGAATATGAGAGAATATGTACAGGTGAGAAAACCTATGAATGTAATGAATGTTGGAACTCGTTTGGTGTGGATGACCTATATCCTATACAACTGAATATTCATACTAGTATGAAACCTTGTAAGTGTTTTGAATATGGGAATATATTTAATTTTCACGAAGACCTTAGTGAACACCAGAAAATTCATAATAATGAGAAGAACTATAAATATAAGGAATACAGAAGGACGTTTAAAGTAGTTGGAGAAATGACTTCACTTCAGAAAATTCATGCTGGTGAGAAACCCTATGAATGCATGGTCTGTGGGAAATCCTTTAGAGTGCATGCACAACTTACTCGACATCAGAAAATCCATACTGATGACAAGCCCTACAAATGTTTGGAATGTGGCAAGGACTTTAGATTTCATTCACAGCTGACTGAACATCAGAGAATTCATACTGGTGAGAAACCCTACAAATGTATGGAATGCGAAAAGGTCTTTAGAATTAGTTCACAGCTTACTGAACATCAGAGGATTCACACTGGTGAGAAACCTTATGCGTGTAAGGAATGTGGGAAGGCTTTTGGAGTCTGTAGAGAACTTGCTCGACATCAGAGGATCCATACCGGTAAGAAACCCTATGAATGCAAGGCATGTGGAAAGGTCTTTAGAAATAGTTCGTCCCTGACTAGACATCAGAGAATTCATACTGGTGAGAAACCCTATAAATGTAAGGAATGTGGGAAAGCTTTTGGGGTGGGTAGTGAACTTACCCGACATCAGAGAATCCACAGTGGTCAGAAACCTTACGAATGTAAGGAGTGTGGAAAGTTCTTCAGACTTACTTCAGCCCTTATTCAACATCAGAGAATTCATAGTGGGGAGAAACCCTATGAATGTAAGGCATGCGGGAAGGCGTTTAGACACAGCTCAGCCCTTACCGAACATCAGAGAATTCACACTGGAGAGAAACCTTATGAATGTAAGGCATGTGGGAAGGCCTTTAGACATAGTTCATCCTTTACAAAGCATCAGAGAATTCATACTGGTGAGACGCTCTATGAATGTAAAGAATGTGGAAAAGCCTTTTAGCTTGGGTAGGCACCTTAACATCAGAAAATTTATACTGGTGAGAAGTCATTTGAATGAATGGAGTGTATAAAGACCCTTTGTTTCTCGTTTTTCACTGGAAAAACTTGTGCATTTAACAAGAAATAATCCAGGGGATTCAATCTCTCCCTCTTTTAAAAAATGTTTCCACACTTTATGGCTACTCTGTACTTAAAAACAGAATTGCTTAGTTATAGTGATGTATACTTTCAGTTTTGTTAGCTATTGCCAAGTATTTCTCCTTTTTTATATCAATTTACATGCTTAACATTCATTGACATATGAGGGTCCCTATTAGTCAATTTCTGAAATGTGTGGAATATGTATTTCCCTAATTACTAGTGACTTGAGTATCTTTTCATATGTTTCTTGTCCAAGAATGTTTCATTTATAGTGACTTATTGTTTGTGCTTTTGCCCTATTATCTATTCATGTTTTTGGCTTGTTGATTTGTAATATTACTCAAATACATTTTTTTGCATTCTAATTCTTGTAAAGATGTGCTTATCTTACTCCAGAGAACCCTAATTAGAAGTCCCAACTAGATACAATGTGGTTTAAAAGTTCTGTGGCCCTGCAGATTTCTGTTTGTTTTCTGTTGTTTTTATTTTAATGATAGATATGTAACCACCTTTCTATTTTCATCAAATGGTTGATTTCTTTTTGAATTTCTATTTTGTTTTGACACCAGATTCCTCTAAATATCTACAGCACAATTCCTTTAAGGAGCCTTTTCATCTCCAGTTAGTACCAGCCAAGGTCCAAATGAAAGAAGCACTTTTACATATTTGATTAAAATTACTAACTGAATCTGTCACTCTCTTAAATTTGGAAAACACCTTTAAAAAGAGAAAGAAATCCATAAGTATTGCAGTTACTATAAATTGATCACTGAACTTACATAAAGAGGGTTTACAACCATATTATTACCATGGCTTCAATTGGATTTTGTCTCTATTCTTACTATGAATTTTCTTATTATTCTCCATCAGAGTTACTTTAATTGGTTTTGGACAGTTGAATAGACCTTCTTTGGTTTTAGTATTCTCACCTGACTCCACTGAAAGAAAACAAGACAATCATAGAGATGATGTTGCAAATCTTAGTTGCCCATCATCTCTCTTAGGACTGTTGACTTGGTTATGCAGTCAGTGTGATCATGAGCCACTGGTTATTAGATATTTTTATAAGAAAACTTTCCTATTATGTTTGGGTACATATATGTCACCATCATTTAATTTTTGAAATTAGTGTCTTTCCCAGAATTTATGTACTCATTACAGTTTTGCATTATCAGCAATAGTAATTATTCTCTTATTGGATATATTGAGCTATTTTTTCTAAGTATTCCTTATTAGTATTTTATTGAAATTAGCAATTTTTTAAAATACATAACTTACCACTATTTCAAGGGAATGCCAGTGGCGCAATGGTTAAGCACTCAGCTGCTAACCAAAAGCTCGGCAGTTTGAACCCACCAGCCGCTCCACAGGAGAAAGATACGGCAGCCTGATTCCATAAAGATTACAGCCTTGTAAACCCCACAGGACAGTTCTACTCTGTCCTATAGGGTCGCTATGAGTCAGAATCGACTCTACAGCAGTGGGTTTGGTTTTGATTTTTATAGCTATTTCATGTCCTGAGCTGTAAGGCAATGAGTCTGTTATTACCCTATTAGAATATTTGCATATTTCACATCTTTGGAACAGAGTGGAACACTATTTACTGTGATGTTATGTGACCACTACTACTGATTTACTCTTGTGTCCCACTCTACCTGGTTATTCTGCATTACCATCAGTACTAGTTAGTTAATGTTCCTCTTCGTGGTGTAACACTCCTTGTTCTATACTTCCTTGTGTTTATTTCTTTCCAGCTTAAACAAAGTAAGACAAAAACCTATCTAAACTTTATATACAGACAAAATAACCATGGGTTTTGTCACTCTTTGAAATCATTAATTAATAAAACATAATCCTTATTATCGTCTCCCTTATTTGTATTACACCTATGTTTTGGTCACATTACATTAACATTTTTTATTTGAGCTTTTTTATGAACTCATGGCTTTTCACAGACTGTGCTGCTCCAATAAGCCATAGTATTATTGTTGTTTTATTACCGTTATTTTTACTACTGTTTAGTGCACAGATTGATAAAATGTCATCATTCTTTTCCATTTTCTTCCGCCCCTTTATCCTTTCTGCATTTTGCTTGGCCTATTTGGAAGCTTTGTTTTTTCCAAATACAAGAGGATGTTCCAGACTTATCCTGTTTATTGATGCCCTAAACTATGAAGTTAGCTACCCGCTATAGAGGAATCTTGGAGCCCTGGTGGTGCAGTGGTTAAGAGCTCAGCTGCTAACCAAAACGTCTGCAGTTCAAATCTACCAGCTGCTCCTTGGAAACCCTATGGGGCAGTTCTACTCCATCCTATAGGGTTGCTGTCAGAATCCACTCGATGGCAACAGGTTTGTTTTTTGTTTTTTTAATAAAGGAATCTTGGTTCCATTTAATGGCAAATAGCATTAAAGACTAAGATATGTGTGATAGAGATGCACAAAGAGTTTGTGGTGTACAAATCACTGCTTGTTGACTTACCTTTAAATTAATGGCAGAACTAAAAAAAAAAAACGTTTTCAAGATCTTATTTTTGCATTGATTTTTTTAAAATCAACTTTGAGGTATGATTTAATGCAATAAAACACACCAAATTTAATTATGCAGTTTGAGTTTTAATGAATTATGCACCTGTGTAATCACCTTCCCAGTTTCCCTCACCCCAAATAGTCCTACATGCTCCTTTTCTGTTATCTCCCACTAGCATCAGACAGCCAATGATCCTCCTTTCAGTATAAATTTATTTTACATCTTCTAGAATTTCATATGAATGGGAACACACAGTATGTAATATTTTGTGTCTGGCTTTTAACAACATATTTTTGAGGTTCATCAATATTTTATTCTTAGGAATTACTTTGTTCTCTTCATTATGGAATAATATTCTTTTATATAGATAAACCATAATTTTTTAATGCATTTGTCTGTTGGTGGACATTTGATTTGTTTCATGTTTTTTGGTATTATGGGTAAAGCTACCATGAATAATCACATGTAGGTCTTTTCATGGATATATGTTTTAATTTCTCCTGGGTAAATAAGCTGTCAATGGAATGCTGGACTCCATGGTAAGTGTATATTTGACTTCATAAGTGTTTTCCAGTGTGGTTGTACAGTTTTATTTGCCCACTATTAGTGTGTGATAATTTGAGTTGCTTCAGTTTGAATCCATCATTAATTACCTTCCAGAACTGAAAGCATCAGGCCCAGATGGTTTTTGTGGTCAATTCTGCCAAACATTTAAGAAGAAATGATACCATATCTCTACAATCTTTATAAAAGAGAAGCAGAGGGAACATTTCCTATGTCATTCTATGAGGGCAGCATTACCCTAATACAAAAACCAGATAAAGATAGCACAAGAAAGCTACAGGCCAATATCTCCTATGAACGTAAATTCAAAGATTCTCAAAAAA